GTTACCCCCCAGCATCCTCATCCCCACAGCCCTGGTGCGACCCCATGGCCCGGCCGAGGCGACGGCGCCCTGAGCGTGCGGGCCGAGCGGGGCTCCTCCAGGGCTCGCGCTGCCTTTCGGGACACTCATTGTATGTGGCTTAGGCGGTATCAGGCACTATAGCTCAAAGCAAACAGTCTATTTGGCTTCCTGGTACTATAGTGCTTTGTTTTTGATTTTTGCTTCTTTGTTGCTCTTCTAATTCTTTCCACGTTGCTTTGGATGGGCCGCATGAAAGACGAAGGTTGCCCCACTTGCCCCGGCACCCACTCCCGGTGCCGGGTTATTTTGGGTGCCCCCGACTTCCAGGGAAGCTGCTGAGGGATTTTTTCCATCAAAAGTCAGGCCTGACTGGTGACTAAGAGCTCCATGGTGGGGCCTGGGCTGGCATCGATGCCCCCGCGGCTGCTTTCCTTTTAATCCCGTTGCGGATTAGCGGCGAGGCCGATTGCCGGGATAATCCCACGGCGGCAGGAGCTGGGTGTGAGCGCCGGGGCCATGCGGCGCTCCCAAACGCTGGGCAGTTGCCTTGGCCTTTAAAACAGGAGGGTCTCGTGGCCAAAGTGCCTGTTCTCCCTGCACCATGACCAGGGCACACAGGTAACCCCAAAGCTGCGTTTCACCTCTTCGGCCTTGTTGCACCCCGGCTTTGGGTTTACTGCATCCTCTGTCTGCCGGTATCTTCGGCCATCCCCACATGGCCTCCAAGGGAGAGCCACACGTTGCTGCCGCTCAGGAGCTACCGTGCGAGCACTCAAGACTCGTAGCTGACTTCTGGCTTTCACTTGGTGCCAGTAGCTCTCAACAAAAGCATCTTGCTACAAAATCATGCATGTTGCATGCACTAACGGGGAAAATAAAACCACCCCCTCCTCTTGTATCCCACATGGAGGAGCAGGGCCTGGCTGGGCTGTCGCGGGGTTGCGGGTGCCTTCCCGCCTGCTCCAGTTCATCAGCCCCCATGGCATTTATTCCTGCGGAGCCGGGCGCGCTCCGCTCAGGAATCCCGGCCTCGTCCCGGCAGCTTCGCACATACCCTGATCCTGGGCATTCGGGCTGCAAAACAGTGACGTTTCACCAACCTGTGTGAAAACCCCCATCCCTGGACGTCCCAGACGTTTTTTTCCTCGGATGCGGGACAAGGGGCAGCCCCTTCTCCCCTTTGCCTTCATGCACCCCCTTGCCCAGTGGGGATGCCGGTCCCTGCCGTCCCGCGGCGCTTCCTTTTTCGGAGCGGCTCCCAGTGCGCCCGGCGCCCGGGCTCGGGCCCCGCTGACGGGCGGTTATTTATATCCACTGGCGCCGGCAGCGAGCGGAGAGCGGCCCCGGCGCGGGCGAAGCCGCTCGCTCGTTGCAGCGCGTCCGGGTGCGCTCGTGCCGCCCCGCCGGGAGCCGCCAAGGACCCGCTGCGCCCCACGGCTTGTTTTCCTTTTGATTTATTCTTTCCTTTCTAGTATTTGTCCTTTTTTCCCGTTCTGGCCATGTGGTTTCTGCCCCGCCGGGGCGGAGCGGTAACGTGAAGGGAGCAGCAGCGCGAACGTCTCCACTCGCAGCTCTGCTTTGCAGCAGCCCCTGGCTGAGGCACGGGAAGGGCACCAAAAAAAGCCCCTAAATAAGTGTTTTTTCCTGGGTGCTGGATCTGGGCCGCGTGTTGTGGGAGTTTTTTAATTTTTTCCCCTCTCTCTTTGGCACCGTGGCAACTTGTCAACCTAGAAATTAAAAATAAAATGGTGTCGCAGGAGGGAAGAGCAACAGCGGCTCCGCGGGCGGATGGGCCGGCTCAGTGATGCCCCAGTGCCACTTTGGGCCTTGTGTCTTCCTGAGCACGTGCAAGTCACGCCATGTCCATCGCTTTTCCCCTTCCTTGCCCCTACTGGACTTGATTCCCTCTTGCTCCCAAGGTTTGGGACGCTGACCTGATGCCAGGGCAGCTGGAGCCGCGGGATAACTCCATGCGGATGGTTTAGTGCAGGAGGAGGGAGTGACGCGGAGCCGCATCCCGGTGAGCAGTCCCCGGCAGCGCCGGTCCTCATCCTGCCCCGGAGGTGCCGCTCCGGGATGCAGCACCCCGTCGCGCAGGAGGTGCCGATCCCATTGGATGCACTTGCTTGGGAGGGTGTTTAATGTGTGAGCAAAGCAGCAGGATTTGGGGCGGTTTTCCAGCAGAACGGGGGCGACGGCGGTGCCGGGGAGGGGGCCATGGCTGTAGCGAACG